ATTTATGAGTTTTTATATTATATATGTTCTTTAGTTGGTTTCATTACTTGTCTTGCTTTCTTGTTGGTTGTGAGTGGTTTGATATTAATAAAATTCAAGTTAAGAACTAATTGCATTAATCATTCCATAATTGCACATTAGGAAAGCTTCATAATGTTTCGTAAAATGAGGTTTCACTAAGTAAAACATTGGACCTAAGGATTACCTTAGGGTTTTGATTTTGCAAATCTAATGAATTTGCACTCAAATACCATTTTGACAAGGCTTGCCATCGATTTCATTTTCAAGGGTTTCATCAATTGTTTTCAACTTATTTTATATCCATTCCATCTTATTTTTCCAAAAATCCAAAATATATATTTAACTTAAACTTGATTTCAATTAATAGTTTTAATGAAAAACCCAAACCTTTCTCTAGTCAATTTACATTTTTATGGCATTTACTTAACTTAGGATCAATAATTAAGGTTCCAACATGTGAGGCGACCCAAACTTGTACCTATAGTACAATTCCTGATTTTAATTTTGAATTTGGCCCTAAAGCATAAGTGAGCAATGATTTCAGTTAGCTTAGTTTTTACAAAAGACCTTAATTCTCAAGACATGTGTCTCCTGCTGAGAATATTTTAGTTTTGGCCAAAGTCCTACTAAGATTATTGAATCATTGTGTTTCGCCCTAGAAACCCCCTAGACTAATGTTTTTGTTTTTGTTTCTTTTTTTCCACCTTGAAACTTCTTTAGCCTTAAAAAAGACAAAGGAGAAAAAAAAAATGGTAGTGATGTGGCGACTGTCCTTTGAAACTTTTATCGGTTGGGTTCATTTTATAGGGTGTTTGGATAAAACTAAACTATGGTTTGGAAAATAGCTTCTGGAAAAAGGTTATTTTTGAGAATAGATTTTGAAAGAATATACAACAACAACAACAAGCCTTATCCCACTAGGTGGGGTCGGCTACATGAATCACATGACGCCATCGTGCTCTGTCAACAACCTAGTCCTTAGAAATGTTGTTAATTAGGAGGTCTCGTTCAATGACCTCATTAAGCGTTCTTCTTGGTCTTCCTCTGTTCCTTTTTATGGGACTCCATCTTGTCTGATCCACCCTCCTCACCGAGACCTCCAATGGCCTTCTCTGCATATGTCCAAACCATCTTAAGCGATTTTCAACCATTTTCTCTTGGATAGGTGCCACACCGACTCTTACTCTGATATTTTCATTTCGAATCCTATCTTTTTTTGTATGACCGCACATCCATCTCAACATCCTCATTTCTGCTACCCCAACTTTGTGCTCTTGTTTTCCCATTATTGCCCAACATTCACTACCATACAACATAGCCAGTCTTATAGCAATCCGATAAAATTTTCCTTTAAGTTTCTCAGGTACCTTCTTATCACAAATAACTCTGGTAGCTTTCCTCCACTTTAACCAGCCAGTTTGTATTCTATGAGAAACGTCTCCATCAATTTCCCTATCCTCCTATATAATGCATCCTAGGTATTTAAACTTTGATACTTGAGGAATGATTTGCTCCCCCATCTTCACCTCCAAATCCCCATTGCCTTGCCTCCTCCCAAAATCACAATGCATATATTCTGTTTTGTTCTTGCTCAAGCGGAAACCTTTCGACTCTAACGTCCTTCTCCATAACTCTAATCTAGTGTTAATCTCTTTTTTTGATTCCGCCATGAGAACTATATCATCTGCGAAAAGCATGGACTTAGGTATTCTTTCTTGAATAGGTTCAATTAGAACATCCAGAACAATGTTGAACAAGTACGGACTCAAAGAGGATCCTTGATGTAGGCCAATCTGAATAGGGAAGTCCTTTGTCTCACCTCCAGGCATCCTTACACTGGTAGTTATCCCCTCATAATTATCTTGTATGGCTTTGATATAAGCAACCCGTACATCTTTTTTTCCAAAGCCTTCCACATTACTTCTCTTGGCACACGATCGTAAGCCTTTTCCAGGTCAATAAAGACCATATGTAAATCCCTTCTTTTACTTCTATATCTTTCCATTAACCCTCTTAGTAAATAGATTGCTTCTGAAGTGGATCTCCCTGGCATAAATTCAAATTGGTTTTCTGAAATAGAAGTCTCCAGCCTTAACCTATATTCCATCACTTTTTCCCACAACTTCATTGTATGACTCATAAGTTTTATCCTCTGTAGCTTGCACAGTTTTGAATGTCTCCTTTATTCTTGTAAATAGGAACTAAAATGCTTCTCCTCCACTCATCCGGCATATTCTTAGAGCGTAAAATTTCATTAAAAAGCTTGGTTAGCCACACCTCACCCTCATCTCCCAGACATTTCCAAACTTCAATAGGGATACCATCAGGCCCAACGGCTTTTCCATTGTCCATTTTCTTGAGAGCAGCCTTAACCTCTCCGATACGGATCCTGCGGTAGAAAGACAAATTCTGATCATCTTCGTTAATTAGCAAGTCCTGTAAGTCCTGAGTCGCATAATTGCTTCCCTTATTAAATAACTTGTAAAAATAAGCCTCCCATCTGTCCTTAATATCACCATCAGTAACTAACACTTTACCATCTTCATCCTTTATACACTTTACTTGGTCCAAATCTCTCTTTTTCCTCTCCTTTTGCTTCGCAATCTTGTAAATATTTCTTTCTCCTGTCTTTGTTCCTAACTCCTAATAAAACCTTTCATAAGCTTTAGTACGTGCTTCGCTCACTGCTTTCTTCGTCTCTTTTTTAGCCAACTGATACTTTTCCCAGTTTTCTACACTATTGCACGAGTGTGTGGCCTTAAAACAATCTTTTTTCTGTTTGACTTTCTCTTGCACACTCTTATCCCACCACCAAGTCTCCTTATCTCTTTGACCAGGACCTTTGGATTCTCCTAAAATTTCTTTACCTACCAAACGAACCCTTGTAGCTATCTCTTCCCACATCATGTCTGCATTTCCCTGCGACTCCCAAATCCCTTCCTCCACAAGAATCCTTTTGAATAACTCTCGTTTCTCACCCTTTAACTGCCACCACCTAACCTTGGGTTTTACCACTTGATGGTACTTTTGCCTGGTACTCTTAAAACGTACATCAAGAATAAGCACTCTATGTTGGGCAATCACCCCATCTCCTAGAATCACTTTGCAATTAGTACACAATCTTCTGTCTGGATTCTTAACAGAACAGAAATTAATCTATGATTTTGAGACACCACTTTTGTACGTGATTAAATGCTCCTCTCGCTTCTTAAAACAAGTGTTGACAACTTAAGATTATATGCAAGAGAAAAGTCGAGAATAGATTGTCCTCCCCTATTAAGCTCCCCAAAACCAAAACCACCATGGGCCCTGCTAAATTGTCCTACTTCCTTACCGACATGTCCATTAAGGTTCCCACTGATAAAATTTTTTTCTTCGAGTGGTATGCTTTGAACCAACCCCTCCATATGTTCCCAGAACTTATTTTTAAGATGTGTCTTTGCCCCAACCTGAGGTGCATAGGTACTAATGATATTGATAGTATCTTTTCCAACAATTACTCTTAACGATATTATTCTATCCTCAAACCTTTTAACCTCTACCACGTTTTTTTCCATGTTCCATCAACGATGATACCAACCCCATTCCTTGCACTCACCTTTCCTGTATACCAAAGTTTATACTCTCCAAGTTCCTTGGCAGCTTCTCCAGTCCATTTGGTTTCTTGGAGGCACAAGATATTAATCCTTCTGTCCCTCATAACTCTTGCTACTTCCATAGATTTCTCATTCAGCGTCCCAATATTCCAAGTGCCAAATCTAATCTCAGTCTCATGAACTAACTTCTTTAATCACCTCCGTCCAAGAGAGTGCAGTAGCCCTCGCTCATTTAACACTACATCCGAGTGACGATGCAACAGCTCTAACTCATTTCTCACTGTACTCGAGCCATACAATGCGTCACTTCTGGGCAACGACCTAGCATTAGCATAATTACTTCGTTGATCCATGTTCATGAGATTCGAAGGGTTTTTATGTTGGCTGTCGAGAGCCTAACACAACCTTCCTCCTTTATCCGGACTTGGGACTGGCTATACAATATAGGGGGAGTTAATGCTAGGTACTTTTTATAAAAAAGTACTTCTGATAAAGTGGGAGTGTTTGGATAGTTGTTATTCAAAGTATTTTTATATGTGCAAATTACTAAAAAAGACATAAGTTAATATGATAATTACAAAAAAAAATATTTTTAATATATTTTTATTTGAAGTAATAAATTTGTTAATAATATTTTTTTCCAAAATAATAAATAATATAAAAATGTAATTAATAAATAATTAATATGTGTATATCTATTTATGAAATATAAGATTAAATATGTTTTTAGAAAAATGACTCTTTTTTTTGCCAATAGAAAGATATTATTTTGCCTTGAAGATTTTAAACATGAAATTCCATAACATTTTTTCACAACTAGTTTTTTTAACAACATGCTATCTTCGATTTTTAATATAAAAGCTATTTTGATATTCAATTTGGTCATAAATATAAAATTCTAATTCATTTTATTTTTTATATTTATCCATTTTTTTCAAAGTAGTTCTTATAGTAGTTGTACATGTTAAATATTTCAAATGGTACTTCTAGCTCATACACATGATTAGAAAGAGTATATTAGGGAAGACAGCGTCTACTTATTACAAATAATTAATTTAACTAATTTTTTAATTTACTCAAATTAATTAATTAGCTCTTATATTAAACACTAGAGGTAGTATTACAATGTCAAAAAGGGATCACATTTTCAAAACGTAACATTTTTTTGGCTTTTCATGAAACCATGATTTAGATGGGTTAAATCATAATTTTAGAACTAAACTATAGTTTCATAAAAATGTGAGGTGTTTGGCAACTCTTTGGTCAAAACCATGGTTTGGCAAATATGTCGTTTATTGAAATTATTTTCCTCAAAACACTGTAAATCATGTAGAAATTAAAAGCCCAACCCAAAGTCCAAACGCTGGAGTCTCATCCGTTTGCTTCTTCAGTTCCTGCTCGTGTTGATGGCTTCCCTCTTCCCCTGTCCCACTCTCTCTTCTCATTCTCCCTCATGTAAAATTGACTTCGTGTTTTCTCCGTTACCAGAAGCACGGACTTCATATCCTAAATTCAATGGGAGCAGTTCTTTGGCCGGTCAGAATTTCGGCACCTGCAGATTCTCTGCTTTTAGAAATAGTAATTCTCCGAGCTTTGTTCCAATGGCTTCGGCCAACAGAGAGCCCATGGTTCCCCCTTACCGCGTTTTGATAACTGGCTCAAGCAAAGGTCAGCTCGGCACTAAATTTCTTTTTCTTTTCGATTCTTGATATTGTTTGAGTTCATTCTTTGTTTATTACAGATGGAAATGCCATATTTATATTAAGGGTGAAACCTCAATGTTATTGTTGAGCGCTCCCCAAAAATTGCGCTTTACAGTATGACTCATTAGCTTTAGAAGGATAGAATTAGCACAAAATTTCTGCCTTTAAAAAATGAATGTGGTGCAGATAAATCTGACGTATTACCTTTTGATGTTTAATAGAAGTGATAGATAAAATGTAAAAGTGATAATTGATGCATGAAAACAAAAAGTTAGAAACTAAAAATAACGTACAATGCAATTATCGAATTGATGGGAAAAGAATGTAAGGCAACTAAAAGATAAGTGGAACTGTGGAAGAGTAAAAGTCGGAAGAAGAGATAAAGTATAATGCAACTGGAGAGATAATCTAGTAAAACTAATTAGAAATAAAAGATAAACAAGAATGTGATTACAGACGAAATTGAAGCTAAAATTACGTGCAAAAAAATGAAGAGAACTACAAAAGTACCATTTTGGTTCAATTTCTATGCGTATCACCTACTTTATAATTCTATTTTTCTCCTTCTCCCTATTTTTTAACTTTGTTTTTTATATTTATTGGACTAAAGATTTTAAAATGGATACATATGATCAAGATCGTGGAAGAATTGTCATACAACAAGAGAAACCTAATAAAGGACCGTTTTCCATTATGGCATGGTATATGATTTTTTTTTTTTATTATTTATATAGGATACAAACATACTATTAATTAAAGATATGCCAATTTATTTTATCAACAAGAATAATGGATGGTGAACATTATGCAGACATAATCAACCAACATGGTAATTGGATTTCACAAGCAATTTTCATGTTAATTTATTTTTTGAGTAAAACCAAGTTGATAAAGTGAAGATGTCATTGGTAGCTGATAGTGCCAAAAATGTTGGGCAAAAAGCCACAAAGTGCGCTGTTGGAGGAGGGTTGAAAGCTGCTAGCTTTTCGACTCTCAATGATTTCAATTGAGGTGTCTGCCCTATTTGGCTTTAGGCCTATGACATTTGCTTCAGCAACATAAAATAACACTCGCAGTATCACCACAGCCAAATTACATGAAAATTGCTAGATTGTAATCTACTGTAGTGCTACAGTCCACATTGTGAGGCAAAAAAGATGTAGATGAACTATTTTATTTATTATGTACTATATTAACCCCCCCCCCAAAAAAAAGCCCAATTTCTGTCTATTTTTTATTTAAATATTGTATCTGTCGTTTGATTCAGGAATAGGCTATGCATTGGCAAAAGAGTTTCTAGGAGCTGGTGACTATGTCATAATTTGCTCAAGATCAAGTATGGACTACTTCTTTACTCTTTGATGCATCTGACAGTTGTATGTTTGCTTTATGATTTTGAATGTCAATATTATTCAACCTTGTAATACGCTGAACTTCATGTCCGCTTTGAATTATTTGAGTTGTTGATCACAATGGATTCATTAAGGTGACCTTTTTCTATTAGAAAAGTTTTTCATTTCCAATCCTTTCATCCGCAAAAGTTGAGGAAGCTCTTGGGCTTATTCAGACTCTGTCTTGAAATGGGTTGCTTATACAGTTGACATTTTTGGATTTGGTGTGCGTGCACATGTGTTTTGAAATCATGGCTATACTCAGATATTCTTATCACCGTTTTGTTTTTCTTTTGAAACTTACATATCTGCTTACACATAATATGATGTTTATATTGAGAAATTTTCTTCCAAAAGATGTGTAGTTTTTTCCCTTATTGTTCTTTTTACTTCTTTTTATTATTAAGAGAGTAAACTAATTATTATATTGCATCTTCTTTGAATTATATTTTCAGTCAAATAATTATTTATGGGCTTTTGTTAGTTAGAGCTTGTTGCATTGTGATATGACCTGAAAAATTTTTTTTTTTTCCCCTTACGACTTATTATTGTCCATAATTTAAGATTATTGTTAATCTAATTTCTTCCGTCTTTCTTTCTCAGTCTCTTGGTTTTTTATTTACAGATGAAAGGGTAGAATCCGCTGTCCAGAGCTTGAGAGAAGAATATGGGAAGCAGTATGTGTGGGTACCTCCTCTTCAACTTTTATGTCAGTGTTAACAAATCTGTGATAAATATAATGTCATTCAAGTGTTTCTGATGATGACTATTTTGTTCTCCCAGGGCACGAAATGTGATGTGAGGGAGGCAGAGGATGTGAAGAATTTAGTTGCATTTGCCCAAGAAAAACTGAAATACATTGATATATGGGTATGCAATATCAGAACTATTTTTTTCTTTTTGATTATTTACATTTACACGTTATAGCTGGGAAAAAAATTTGATACAACGAATTTTAATTGCTTTTAATCATTAGAGTCACTTGAGTTGTCTCAGCAACTATGTGAATTTCTGTGCATTAAAATTATGATTTCTCAAGAGATAGAACTTTAAATGATGTTTTGATTATACCTCATTTTATTTAACTATAATGCCATTAACATGACAGGTTCTGTTGGGTAATCATTATTATTTTTAGCTTCTGGGTTCTTTCTCTACCAAAATTGGGCAACATTATTAGTGCAAGTATCTTTATGATTTGACGAGATTTATGTCTGCTTTCATGGTAGTCTCCACTGCGTTAATACTTACTCAGGAGGGGGGAAAAATAGACCTGGCTGTTTATTGAATATAATTTTAAGCATGTGAACTACCTGGCAATTCATCAGGTGTTTATATTCCTAGTTATCCTATTAGTTTGTTAGTTACTGAAAGAATCAGGATTGAAGAGTGCTCCAATTTTGTTATGTTATTTGAATAATGTGGCTAAAGATTGAGAAGGTTTGAGAAAGAAAAGATGTTGGGCCCAACATTGAATTGGGCCATGTCTATATGAGAGGGAAAAGAAAATGTATGCACAAAGTAAATGGCAAAGTCTATATGAGGAGGAATCTATGGAAGTCATGACATACTGGGGGGTGGGGGGATCTGCATTTCTGTCTATTGATTAAAGGGAAAGAGATGGGTACATATAGGGAGCATCACAACAGCTATCAATAAAGGATGACTCCCAAAGTTAGAAACAGGATAAACAAAGCAGTAAATACATATGAACCAATAACCAGTAAATACACTGGAACTAATAACAAATTAATAAAGACTGAACTACTAATAACCACTGAATTTAAGACTAATTTAAGCATAAGTATGGGCTAAAGCCCAATACTCATCTAACAGATATTAACAGAGGGAACAGAAGGACGGAATAATTGATTTTGTCCATATGGGCATGATTCGGGAGAGAGGATGTGAGCTTCCTCAGATGGGTTATGTCAAGTTTGAAACAACTTAAACGTTTCTATTTATTCTATGATATTTATTCTCGTTTGATTAATCTATTCTTCAAAAGATCTATCAGACTATCATGGAGTGAATGATTTGATCAATTCATATTCGATTCTTTCTTCAACTTGGAATCGATTCACATCTTTTATTTGTCATATAAATATTAAAAAATAGAGATTTTGGGTCTGTCTGGTCTAATCAATTGAAATAGTATTTCAGATGGGTTAGAACAACTTAAATATTTGTTTGCTCAAAAAAAAAAAAAAAGATGGGTTATGTCAAGCAAAATATTAGTATTAATAAAGGAAATAAATTAGTGATTCAAAACAATATAAATGCGGTCAATACTAAATAGCCTAAACAGATATAAGGACGGAAAAGGGAAAATAACTTTTGAAATCATAGGTTAGTATCCAACTATGATTTTCATTAATTCCAAGGAGATAATCCCTGATTTTATGTACAGAATTCCCACATTTACTTCCTCTTAGTAGCACCCCTTGAACCTTGGACCTTGTTCAAGTCCTTATTGTACTTAATTGGGACCTCTACACACACACACACACACACTCACACATTCTTGTGTCTTTGTTTGCTTATGCCTTTGGTCACCTAATATGAAGTGGTTTTAGAGATTTCTATGGTCCTCTTGAATCATTTACTTGGTTAATTTTCTGCAGGCACTTGTTTAGGGCATTATCAACTTGATAATGCTGCATGTTTCCTTTGTTTGCAGTTGCTGCCTCTAAGACCTGGCATCATTATGCCCAACTCATCACTTCAAATATTTATGTCATATGTTTCTTGTAATAGCTATAATGATTTATAGTTGGCTTCTCTTTCTGCCTTACATACTGAATGTGTTTTAGGATAATGCAGATTAATAATGCAGGGTCAAATGCATATAGCTACAAGCCTCTTGCGGAGGCATCTGATGAAGATCTTATGTGAGCTCTGATAGACCTTGCACCTTATCATCTGCCCTAAAATTGTTAATCTTTGAACATAATTATTCTGTTAATGCAGTGAGGTAGTTGCAACAAATACACTTGGTTTGATGATATGTTGTCGAGAGGTAAATACATTCTTATCTAAGTAGTACTGTGAAAAATCAGGTGATATGTTATGCACAATGTTTTACTTTTTGCTTAGGCAATAAAGATGATGGCGAACCAGCCGGGAGGAGGTCATATTTTCAATATTGATGGGGCAGGTTCAGATGGAAGACCAACTCCCAGGTGCTTTGAATTTGCTTATGTATTTGCTGTGTTGATTGGGAACAATATCTTTATCACTTTCGTTCTCTGCTAATGTCTTCTAGGACTGAGTCAAATTAGTCATAATTTCTGATTTGTGTTTATTGCTCACCTACTCAACAAGACTATGAGTAGTTATATGGCGAGCAACATCACCAAAGCCTTCCAGCAAATCTGTTGTCAATTCCATTTATGTTCATGGTGGAACCAAACTAATCGCGTCGTTGACTATTTGATAAGCCATGTGGGCACAATGGCTTGTCTTCATTTGGAGAAGATTTATCTATGTTAGTTTAGTATTTATTTCTACCACTGTCAGAAAGTTTTAGCTGTAGTATATTGGGTGATGGCAATTGAGAGGTAGCTTATTGATGATGAAACTCAGTAATCCTTTTCTGTCAAAGAAACCCCAATCTTTCATAACACCTATGTAGCCCCTAGTTTCTATGTTTATCCAACATACTTTGGTGATCATTCTTTACATCTCCCACTTTCCTTAGGTTTGCCGCATATGGAGCTACAAAGCGGAGTGTGGTGCATTTAACAAAATCGTTACAGGTGGATGCATGTATTACTACTTATGCTCTTTTGCCGTTTTCTCTTCTATTCACATCCAGGCCAGACATGATCTTATGTTAGCTTTTTAATGCAGTGTTGCTTTATGTTCTTAAAATATGGTTGTTTTATTTGTAATTTACTCAGGCTGCTCCTTTTTATGTACTTTTTATATCCTTTGAGATACATTCTAATGACAGAAATTGATACCACCATTGACCTGGATAATTTATAAAGAATGTAGACATTTCAATTCATATATTGGAACGAGAAGAAATCATTCCATCAACAATGCCTTTTAAAATATTTCTTTAGAGTTCTTAGCCATCGAAATGGTATTATTTGCTGCACATACTTACCTTTTGATATTGATCGTAGTTTTGTGTTCTATGATTGGTTCTTTCTAGAGTCATCCTCTTTTCCGATAGGGCTGCGTTGATAAGAACCATAATTGTAACAATGTCTTTGTATATGTAACAAAAATTAAGTTATGTATTACAGGCAGAATTACAGATGCAGGATGTAAAAAATGTTGTGGTGCATAATCTTTCGGTATGTTCTACTTTATTTTTTTGAAAAATTCTATGATATGCAATGGTTGTAGCAAATAAACATATTCAAGTCTCTTAATGCTGTAGTTTTTGCAATTATGCAGGAAATTTTATTATATTTGTGGGCGGGGCAACAGGGTAGGATAGGAATGGAAATGATTTTGGGGCTAGATACTGGCAATTGCATCACTGTTTCAATTGAATACACCTTCTATGTTATTGTAGTTACCTACGAATGTAATAGACTCGATAGTCTTACATGCACACATGAGGATTGTTGTGATGGGCCGAAAAGCCCATTTAGCTTTATGTTTTAATTTTAGTTTCTTCATTATCTTGTTAATCTCCAGCTCCTAAGATCCCGGTAAATATCCGTAGGAATTATCATGATGTTATCTCCCATTATCCGATTTGATTTCTTGTATTCGATCGCCCAAAACCTAGGATCAGTTCCTATAAATGCACACAAGATTTCGATGAATAAAGCAAGTTTTCTGGATTAAAATCTTACATGGTATCAGAGCAACGGTACCCACTATGATCAGGTTCGGCTACGGGTTTGATCTGCCAAGCCAAGGCGGCTCTTACTCATCGGCGCTAAATTCCTCGATGACGGTGAATCCAGCGACGAGTCACCCAGTGCCACCCGAAACCCAGTCCTTGGCGATAACCATCCATCGCCTTAATGGCCAAAACTATCTACAGTGGGCGAACGGTGTTCGTTTGTATGTCACCGGAAAGGGAATACTGGACTACCTGACCGGCAAAAGAACCAGGCCACCAACGTCCGATGAGAAGAGATACGCCGAATGGGAAGCAGAGAACTCAATGGTCCAATGCTGGCTTGTGAACTCCATGACAGCGGAAATAAGCGCAAGCTTCTCGTTATTTCAGTCCGCCAAAGAAGTCTGGGATGCGGCTCGAGACATGTTCGCATCCATGAACAACCGGGCAGCAATTCTTGAGATAGAAACGAATCTCGACAACCTCAAGCTCTGTAATTTCACTGTTACGGAATATTGGACTAATCTCCTGGTCCTATGGCAGCAGCTGGATTCGTATGAGGGCTATGAATGGTCATGCCCTACCGATGCTAATCTGTACGCTAAGATAAAGGAAGAAAAAAGAATTTCTAAATTCCTACTTGGCCTAAATTCCTCCTTTGATGCTGCTCGTGGTCGAATTATGAGCCAAGAACCACTCCCAAGTATTCGGGAAGTATTCTTTATGATAAAACAGGAGGAGACTAGGCAAAAACTCTCCTCTCCAAAACTGCCAAGCCCGAGTGATGGGGAATCAGGAGCATTCTTCTCTAAAGGAGGGCCTCATGGAGACAACAAGAATAAGAAGAATGGCAGATGGTGTGATCATTGTCAAAAGGCAGGCCACACGAAAGATATTTGCTGGAAACTCCATGGTAAACCACCAAATACAAAAGGGAGAGGAAAACAAGAAAACAAAGCCTACATGACCAACAGAGAGTCCAAAACAGAATTCGATGAGAAATTGAGCAGAGAAGAGGTTGAATTTCTTAGAAAATTACTGGATAAACATGACACCCGAGATGCTTTGGTTTCTACGGGTGATATAGCCTACACAGGTAATGCTGTTTTAGCACTTAAAAATTCTGTTCATAACAAGGATATGTGGATTGTTGATTCGGGGGCTACCGATCATATGACCGGTAATATTCATTTAATCCATAACCTACAACCGTGCCAAGTGCCTATGTTCATTAAGGTGGCTGATGGAAAATTCATTAAAGTTCATGGGATTGGGGAAACTTGTCTCTTTAATTGCCTTGTCCTTGAAAAAGTATTATATGCCCCTGATTTAATGTGTAGCCTCGTCTCTGTTAGCAAAACTACTCTCACACAACGTTGCCATGTTAATTTCTCTGCTATGATCTGTGTATTTCAGGACTTGGAGTCGGGGAAGATGATTGGCAAAGCTGAGATGCTAGAGGGGTTGTACTGTGTTCAAAAAGGGGCACCGGAAAAGGAAAGAGCTCTCCAAACCACCACAAAAAACCTTCCAGTTAAAATTTCCAGTAAAGAACTATTTTTATGGCACTATAGGTTAGGCCATCCAAATTTTCAATACATGTTCAGATTGTTTCCTAATTTAATAAATAAAAGTTCTAGTTCTATTTCCTGTGAAATTTGTCAACTGTCAAAACATACAAGAAGTAGTTATTCTCCGCATTTACATGAATATTCTCAGCCTTTCTCTCTCATACACAGTGACCTATGGGGACCTTCGCGAGTTCCAAATTTGACCTAAACAAAATGGTTCGTCACATTTATGGACGATCACACACGAGTCACTTGGGTGTTTTTACTCAAAGAAAAATCTGATCTTACACAAACCTTTCAAAATTTTCATAAAATGATACAAAACCAATTTCATGCCCCCTTGAAAATCCTACGGAGTGATAATGGCACAGAATACACCAATTCTGCCCTTCAAACATACCTTAAGGAACATGGGATTATTCACCAAACCAGTTGTGTACACTCCCCACAGCAAAATGGGACAGCTGAAAGAAAAAATAGACACCTCCTAGAGGTCACTAGGGCCATTATGCTCACCACAAATGTGCCTAAATTCTACTGGGGAGAAGCCATTCTTACTGCTGCCCACCTGATTAACCGACTACCTTCCCGTACCTTGGATTTCAAAACCCCAATCCAAACTCTCTCTGAAACCTATCCCACACCTCATCTGTTCCATTCCATCCCTCAGAAAATTTTTGGCTGTGTTGCATATGTTCATCATACTGAAAGCGGAAAATTAGAGCCTAGAGCCCACAAATGTATCTTCCTCGGGTATTCTAACTCAAAAAAGGGGTATAAGTGCTACTCTCCAACCCTAAAAAAATTCTATGTTACCATGGACGTTACCTTTGCTGAGCATAAACCATACTACCCTAAAACACCCATTCAGGGGGAGAGAGAACAGGAATGGGAGTTTTCTGAATTATTTTTTGAACCAGCACCTGAACCCGAACCCAGCAACCAACCTGTTGTACCTGAACCCACCAACCAACCTATTGTCATTTTAGATAATCCTATCCTTTCGCCTATACCTGAATCCAACACAGAAATGGAAATGGAAACTGAACAGACCAATGAGGAGGAAAGAGTGCAGCAAAATGAAGAACTTGTGCATATCGACACCTCTAGTACTGAGCAATGCCAACATTCAACCCCGGCTTCAAATCCTGATGATCTTGGGTGGCCCATTGCTTTGAGAAAAGGGGTAAGGAAGTGCACTAAGCATCCTATCAGTCATTTTGTGTCTTATAATAAACTGTCTCCTACTTTACAAAGCTTTGCTACTAGATTGGATGATGAACAGCTACCAACCAGCTTTGATAATGCTATCTGTGATCCCCATTGGAAGAGGGCTATTGAGGAAGAGCTGAATGCGTTACGTAAGAACCAAACATGGCAGATTACTAAGCTCCCAAGTGGCAAGAAAATTGTGGGATGTAAATGGGTCTTTACAAAGAAATACAATCCGGATGGCTCAATTAACAAATACAAGGCCCGGCTAGTGGCAAAAGGGTACTCTCAGACCTACGGCATAGACTACCAAGAAACATTTGCTCCCGTTGCGAAACTGAACACTATTCGAATACTCTTGTCTTTAGCTGCTAACCTGGACTGGCCTCTCCACCAACTTGATGTAAAGAATGCCTTTCTAAATGGGGATCTAGAGGAGGAAGTTTATATAGAGATCCCTCAAGGACTAGTAGAGAAGGGAAAGCCAGGAATGGCATGCAGGCTTCACAAGTCACTTTATGGCTTAAAACAATCACCTAGAGCTTGGTTTGAGAGATTTACTAAAGCAGTAAAAGGCGTTGGATTCTCTCAGTGTCAGGCAGATCATACACTATTTGTCAAACATTCAAGGGGCAAGATGGCCATCTTAATTGTGTATGTTGATGACATCATCCTAACAGGTGATGACACAACAGAAATAACGAAGCTGAAGAAGTCTCTAGAACGGGAATTTGAAGTAAAAGACCTAGGAGGATTAAGATACTTCCTAGGTATGGAGATAGCTCGATCAAAGAAAGGCATAGTAGTCTCTTAAAGAAAGTATACATTGGATCTGCTGAAAGAAACTGGTATATTAGGTGCAAAACCAGCAGACACTCCAATGGAACAAACAAAAAGGCTGAACAATAAGGAAGAGGAAGAAGAAGAAAAAATCATTGATGACAAGGAAACAGGAAGAAAACCTAAACAAAAGAAAATACCAGTACCTGTAGATGCAGAAAGGTATAAGCGTTTAGTAGGTAAACTACTATATCTCTCTCATACTCGTCCAGATATCACTTATGCAGTTGGGGTGGTAAGTCGCTTTACAAGTGAACCTTTAGAAGAACATATGAATGCCGTGTATAGGATATTACACTATCTTAAGATGACACCAGGTTGAGGCCTATTTTTTGCCAAGGGAGAATCAAGAGAAATCATTGTGTATACAGATGCAGACCATGGAGGCTTCCTACCTGATAGAAGGTCAACCTCAGGGTACTGCACTATGGTTTGGGGAAACCTTGTGACATGGAGAAGCAAGAAGCAAACAGTAGTGTCCAGGAGCATTGCAGAAGCAGAATTAAGAGCAATAGCCCATGGTGTGTGTGAGGGCCTCTGGATAATACGCATCCTAAAGGAACTAAGACTTGCACCGACTAGCCCTATGTGATTGAAAAGTGATAGTCTATCAGCCATTGGAATGGTAAGAAATCCCATTCATCATGAGAGGACGAAGCATGTAGATATTGACAAGCACTTTATTAAAGAAAAAGAAGAATCCGGAATCATTGAGATTTCTCATGTGCCTTCACATTGCCAAGTGGGAGATCTCTTTACAAAAGCCTTGCCTAGACGCCTGTTTGAGGAATTCAAAAGCAAGTTGGGAATGATCGACATCTATTCGTCAACTTGAGGGGGAGTGTTGTGATGGGCCGAGAAGCCCATTTAGCTTTGTGTTTTAGTTTTAGTTTCTTCATTATCTTGTTAATCTCCAGTTCCTAAGATCCCGGTAAATATCCGTAGGAATTATCATGATGTTATCTCCCATTATCCGATTTGATTTCTTGTATTCGATTGCCCAAAACCTAGGATCAGTTCCTATAAAATGTACACAAGATTTCGATGAATAAAGCAAGCTTTCTGGATTAAAATCTTACAAGGATTAATGAGTCATACTCCATTCCATTATTGTTCATTGCTACTGAATAAACTCTTCACATTCTACAACCTCTTTTGGAGTTGTTGCATTGGACAGTGATGGAACTCAGCTCTAATATGTATTTGTATTAAGCTGAGATGAACCTCAATCCAACACAAGTCTTAAGGCTTAAGCTCAGTGGGGTTACAGATAAACTGTCGCAAAAATGAAGGAAAAATAGAAAACAAAACACAAGGCCTTACTCTTGCATTTGAGAGGCTAGAACTCTCTGCTAACAATTCCTTGCTTTCCCCTCTCTGCCATCCCATTCTTTCAGCTTGGATTTTTCTTTCTCTGATACATGTGGAGGTTTTAGACCACTCCAGGCCCATTATTACCTTCCCACAACAAGTTTCACCTTGTCCTGAAGACGTAAATTGAGGGTTGAGTGCTGTTCTCCTCATACTGCTCTGAAGTACTCTTTCCTGCTGACATCTTGTTACATTGAATCAGCCTGTCAGTTTGTGCATTGTTCATTTTTCTGGTTTTAAAAACCTGATCTGCCTGTACCTTCAGTTTCATTTTATCAGATGATGCAGTGGTGAATGTTAGAACCAGCCTGTAAAGTCCGTAAACTCTTTGCAGTGTCCTTTGACTAGAGATTGATAACACATATGCTTTCACTCTCTAATTTCATCTTTCTCAGTCCCATGATCCATATAAGGTTGAGAGTATCGTATCTGGCCCATAGCTCTGCAGATGTAATGCTGCTATGCCCAATGTTCCTGCTGATTCCAGCAATCCAGTCTCAATTTGCATCTCTAATGAGTCCCCCAGCTCCATTAGCTTTTGCATTGGATTCCTAGCTCACTGCTGTTGAACTTAACCCAACCCTCTTGTGGGCACTCCCATTGAGTAGCCTGCTCAATTCTTCTGATGTTTGGGTCTTCCAGGTGCTGCTGAAATTCCTAAGCTTTAAGTAGTAAAGTCCACCTCAGCGAGAACTTCATGCAATTTCACGTGCTATTTTTAGATGCAGTCTAGCTATATTTCACTTAATCACATTCTATATAATAATATATATTCCCTAATATCTATACATACATGAATGTTCACAGTATCATACATGACATGCTTTACATACAGATATAGATCACAGACAGTATAACACAAGATTATTCTATATTCTTATCATCCCCTCTCAAGCCGGAGGGTGTTTGACAAATTCCTAGCTTATCTCATAAAAGCCAAACCTTTTGTGAGACAAAGCTTATGTTAAATATTCTGTTGTCTGATCAATGGAAGGGATATTGGACAGGCATCCGTTTAGCTAATACTTCTCAAATGCAGTGGACTTCCAATTCAATGTGTTATTCCTGTCAGATGAACCAGAGCAGCTTCTAAGGCAAAGGCCACTTTGGCTTTCATACCATCTAACTAGTGTATTACTTGTAGCTAAACTAATCTCAATCAAGAGCAATTGTGTTATGAGAGAAAGAAGATAGAAAGAGAGAGGTCTGAGGAGAACCTAAGTTCCATTTACAAAACTCCTTATCAACTTAGCCTGCATTTGAAGTTTCCTAGCTGAGTTGGTTGTTGACTGCTTAACAACTCTGTTTCACATTTTACTCATCTCTCTCCTTACTTTCAAGTGCCCCTTGATCTCAAGAATTTGTAGCTACAAAGTATGGTACATCCTTTGGGGATCAAGAAACCTAGGTTGCTTCTTCAGGTTGTAATCCCTCCTATGGAACCAATACTTCAGTGATGGCTGTCTACCTTTTTGGCAACATCATTCAGTGGAATATCTGCTTGGTTAAGCTCTTTCACATAATTGTGGCTGATATGCTTATGGATGTCTCCTCACTGGAGTAAGATCTGGGCATGGTTTCTGCAAATGGACATGGAAGTCGTTGTGGATTTTATTTTCACTTAGTGAATCCGCATCATAATCAACAACTCCTATCCTTTGAATAAATTCTGTGAGGCCCGGAAAAACTTGTAGCAACCTTTAGTAAAGTTCTGGATGCTACTGTAACCTATGTATATGACTGCAACCTGAAGAATACCCAGTCTTCCACCTTAAACTCCCTCTTTGAACGCCTCTTTTCAGCTTGCCGTTTCATCCCATTTGCTCCTCTGTGCATATGATGTTTGATAATACCTACTATGATGTAGGAAGTAGAGGAAAGCAGGAAAAGAGATGGAGAAATAGAGAGATTGAAGAAAAGGTAGGAAAACAAATATTCAAAATTATTACTTAATTAGGCACAATACTTCAAATGAATAATGTTAGGGCTGTTTATAGAGCTCTAATCTAATACTAGTTATTCCAAACTACTGTAATCTTAAAATATAGGATCAACTTTATTCAAATTTGAAATAAGTTAATAACTAAAAGTCTAAATAAGACGGGATGATAGGATAAATCCCAATCCAAACTAAATTAATGTTAATGAGACAACGGACAATTTAGATTACTATGAAGAGATTTCTGAAGGTGATTTATGCATTAGCACTACTAAATATTTGAAAAGAACAAAATTCAACATCACAGGTGCTAGGATCGGACTGCGATGAGTCCATAAAACTTATTTTGATAACCTCAACATAAGTAACCATGAAATATCTCGATCCTCCTGTGTTACCTTGCATGCCTTGTGTCGTGTGTGATTATTTTCCCCCAAATAAGGCTTGCTGCAATCACTCGTCCAATGTGAAGTACATTCCACCCTTTAGAATCCACCCCAACACTTCAACTCGGTGGAATTTGGGAATTTCATCTGCGTAAAATGAATATGAAGGCAGTTGTCGACCATTTTGATGGGTTGATCCCATGCTTTTGTTCCATTACTTGACATTCTGTTCATCTGAACCTCTTGTCCTCATCAGCTCCCACATATTACAATGATGCTTCTTCTTCCTAAATAAAATAGACTAGTATCATTCAATGAATAGAATAGTCAAAGAAGGTTTACACAGTCTCTCAACCAACTGCACAGCCCTTCCAGGCTGATATTGAATTTTAAATCTACACCCCATAAACTTTGAGATCTTCTGATATGGGTCAATAACTCTCTGTTCCAACATATATTTCAGGGTTCTCTGGTCTGTCTTTTGATAAATGGCTGAAAGACATAATGCAGCCACCTCTTCCTGCCAAAATTATTTCCATTAATTCCCTCTTATATGCCGAGCTTTGCTGGTTTTTTCATGTAAGTGCTGGCTGAAATAAACAGTTGCTTTCAGTTTCTGCATACCACTACCCTGATGCATCAGCCTCTATTTCAAAAGGCAAGTTGAAATCTAGCATTGTCAACACTAGGAGTGTTGTCATGGCCATCTTTAATTCCTTAAATGCCCTTTGAGGCTTCTCATCCCAATTGAAAGCATGTTTGTTCAGCAGTTAGATTAATCTGCAATCTTCTCATACATGAGTAGGACAAGGCTTTAAACCGGTTATGAGTCCATCAAGTTTGTTCCACTTAATGATTGAATTGACCAGAGCAGACCACAACAGGTAGTTTATTTTGCGCGGCATGACAAACAGATAATGGATTTCCCTTATTGAAAGGGCTGGCCATTGCCAATGAGGCACAATTGACTTTTTTGGTGGTGGGTGGTGAATTTGTAAATGAAGTAGCCATGCCATCAGTCATGTGAGCCTGATATCAAGTTTGGAAAGTGTTAATAGTAATGAAGGCTGGGATAACTTCTTTACCCATGCCTCTTCTATATAAAATGTCGGTTTTAGTGTAACCAGTAGAGGAGTGCCAAAGGGGTTTAGCTATATGGCACTTAAATCACTTGTGTAATAGAAAATATTTCCTGAAATAGCATGATACATTACATGCACATATGGATCACACACAACATTACACAGGATTATTCTATCATCTTAACATCAGTGCCTTAGTGGTGAAGAAACTTCAACCAACTTGCATGTATCTTCAATCATTATTCCTTGACATGTCAGACTAAAGCATACTGCTATGATTAAGGCCCTGTTTGAAATCATGTTTAAAATCACTTATAAGCATGTTTCATGTAAGTCGAAACAAAACTCTTCAATTATGATTCAAAAGCTACTTATAAGTCATTCCAAACAGGCCCTAAATTTCCGATGAAACATGGAATTCATGATATAGGAAAATGGTATGACTTATCTTGCATTTTTACTTTCATATTTTACTGGTGTATATACCTCATTATTGATATAATGTTGTCAAATACTTGGAAAAGCTTACTAAATTTATGATGAAATGTGAAACTAATGATAGATGAAAATGGTACGACTCATTGCATTTTGCTTTCATGTTTTGCTTCTATATGCACCTGACTAATGGTGTTATAATGTTTCCCCCTTGCATCTTCCTTCATCTTAAATATGAAACTGCTGCAAAATTTTGACATTCTATGTTGACAATTTAAATATGTGGTCATGACTTATCTTTCCTTTTTGGTTTTGCAGCCAGGGATGGTCACCACTGATCTTCTCATGTCTGGTGCTACAACTAAGCAGGTAAAGAAATTCATGTTACTTCCCACAAACGTGGGAAAAAGAAACTCAGATCATCTCAAGAGTTTCTTTTGTGCACTTTGGACTGAATTACTTTGGTTTCTGCAGGCCAAGTTTTTCATTAATATATTGGCTGAACCAGCTGAAGTGGTAAGATTTTTTCGCATTTGGTAAAAGATGAGATCACTTCAATGTATAATAAACTAAACTAAAGAGTGATAGAAATTTGTGCGAAGTTAACATAATGATCAGAAATCATTGAAGATATATTCCACGAATGGAGAAGAAAATTCTTACTATTGTAATTATCTAAGGACTGGGCTGTTGATAGAACACGATGACGTCGTGTGATTCATGTAGCCAACTCCACCTAGTGGGATAAGGCTTGTTGTTGTTGTTATAATTAGATAGATGTCATCCTATCATGTTACCTGATATTATTGAGTCATAACTGAGCATTGTCGAGCCTGATTGGGGGTAACTTTCTTCGCATGATTTTTTTCTCATCTACAAATTTTGAACTCTCGATTTTGCTTAAAGAGAATCAAGTCATTTTCGCTCAATTCAATCATCATTGATTTCTATCATGTTCTGTTTATTAGTTGAGATTTTATAAATTCAATTATTTGTTAAATCATACTATTTTATTTGGATTTTCTTAGTATTTTTCACTTTCTAATGCCTCGTTTGTTGGGTATTTGATTGCTTCTCTTAAGTGGCTTGGATATGGATTATTTTATGAAGCACTGATACTTTAAGAAAAGGAAAATGATACGTATTGTATAAAAAGGAAAAAAGTACATATTGGACACTCGAATAAGATGTGTCATTTCGAATTGCACTTGGATGTTATCTATTTTGTCCCTTGTCGATGTTGATATATTCAGGTCAGTATATGTGCTTAGGAATTACAACCGATTTAAACTACTATTAACAAATTTTGCTCTCCTAATATTCTAGCTCTGTAGTTATTGAGTTTTTTATTCCCATGTTACATGATGGTTTGCAGGTTGCAGAATTCCTGGTTCCAAACATTAGATCTACCATTGGCAATGGATCAATGAAGCCAACGTACATTAAATTCCTCACTGGGGTTAAAGCGTATTCTCAGATATTTTCAGTTAAGAACAATCCTATTCTTTGACACGCTCATTTTTTCACTTGCGTGGTTCACTATTTAGTATATTGATACACTAGAGGTTATTGTTTGACGAGCTCTTTTTCCCATGGGGTTTATTTTTCTAGTCATTATGTGTTATGAAAATCTCAAAAGTAAATATAATGTTTAAAAGAGTTTAATCTTCTGAGGGATGAAGCTCTCATTGAAAGTTAGTATTTATTAATCTGGATTGCCTCAAAACATTGAGATAATCGTCATTGGGGACAGTCAACTCATATCTTCTCACTTAGGCGTGTTTGAAAGCTGTGTTTCCCAATGCGCGATGAATTCCGTCACTAATCATTTGGATCCTTTTCATTAGGGTTTTCTTTGAGTTTCAAGTGAGATTATTGATTCGGATAGTTTAGATTTCAAGTTTTTCTTATAACAATTTAACTTCTTTTTGAAATAAAGAAAAATACAAATCAAATGTCTTATAACTGCAAGTTAAAAGAAGAAAAGATTAAAAAGATTATTTAAAAATCTGAATAGTATATTTTTCTCTCTCTTGAAAATCTGGTGAATTTCTTGATAGAAAGGAGCAAAATGTGAGATACAAACTTTCTATCTGCTGCTTAACATTGCAATTTTATCTTGTTCAGAGCATTATTTCCTTTTTCCATTATCTAAAAGGCTTCTCTTTTGTTACCCTGCAGCGACTTGCATTTGGGGCAAGAAGGAACCGATACTTCCCTGAAGATTGATTAGCACATAAGCAGGTTTCATGTTCAATAATTTGTATTTAGTTCTCCATTCAATAAAACTTTGGTTTCTATTTTCTCTCTTTTCGGCTGGATGTAAAATTTACGAATTTGTGGAAGAGATGGATGATAGAGTTACAAACCCCACTCTTTCCTATTTGTGTGAAAGCTGCATGGTCTTGTGATTTACGTATACAGGTCTTCACCTTCGATCTCCATTTTTTTCCTGTTGGGGTACTGAGACAATTTAAATATATAAAATTAAAACAATTTGATCTAACGTTTTAAATCATAAGAAAATTAGGTGGAAAAAGGTTATGATTATATCTAATGATCAAAGTTACTGCTAGATTTAATTAATATTATTAAACCAAAGAAATTATTATAAATAATTATATGATAATTTTTTTAAGAATTAGTAATATCTTTCTTAAAATAAAATGATATAATATAACAACAAAGACAAGTCTTATTCCACTCGGTAGGGTTGACTGCATAAATTACACAATACTATTGTACTCTATCAACGGTCAAGTTTTTAGATATGTTGATTAGGAGGTTTTATTTAATGACCTTATTAAGCATTCTTCTTGGTCTTGCCTTTTTTTTGTAGGACTCTAAATTGTCTGTTCTACATTGTTTACTAGTGCTTCCAGTGGTCTTCTCTATACATGCTCAAATCATCTCAAGTGATGTTTCACTATTTTCTCTTTGCTATGCCCTACACCCATTCTTATTCTGATATTTTCATATCGAATTTTTTTTTGTATGATTACATATCCATCTTAATATCCTCATTTCTATTATCCTAACTTTATATTCCTATTTTGCTTTATTATCCAACATTCATTATCATACAACATAGTTGGTTTTATAGAAGTCGGATAATTTTTTTTCTTAAGCTTCTCAGGTACTTTCTATTCACAAATAATTCTAATAGCTTTCCTCTACTTTAACCAACCAGCTTGTATTTTATGATAAATGTCTCCATCAATTTTACTATTCTCTTGTATAATGAATCCTAGATATTTGAACTTTGACACTTGAGGAATGATTTAATCTCCCATCTTCACCTCTAAATCACCATAGTTTTACCTCCCTTAAAATTTCAATGCATATATTCTGTTTTGCTTCTATTCAAGCAAAAACCTTTTAACTCTAAGGTCCTTCTCCATGACCCAAATCTAGAATTAATCTCTTTTCTTGATTTAGCCATGAGAACTATGTCATCTACAAAAAGCATGCTCTTCGAGATTTTTTTTTCTTGAATAAGCTTAGTTCTAGAACAATATTAAACAAGTAAAGACTCAATGAATATTCCTTATGTAAGCCAATCTTAATAGGAAAGTCTTTTGTCTCACCTCTAGGCATTTTTACACTAGTAGTTATTCCCTCATACATGACTTTGATATATGCAACATACATCTTTCTTTTTCAAAATCTTTCAAAGTACTTCTCTTAGCATATGATCATAAACTTTTTCTAAGTCAATAAAAAACATATATAAATCATTTCCTTTATTTTCATGTCTTTCAATTAACTCCTTTAGTAAATAAATCACTTCCGTTGTGGCTAGTAAATTTTATCTCTCTATTGCTTGTACAATTTTAAATATCTTGGTTATTATTGTAAATAGGAATTAAAGTATTTTTCCTCCATTCATTTGGCATATTTTTAGATTGTAAAATTTTATTAAAAAGTTTGGTTAGTCACAAGCCACCCTTCTCATCTAAACATTTTTAAACTTCAATAGGAATACCGTTAGATCTAACGGCTTTATCATTGTCAATAAGAGCTACTTTAACCTCTTTGATACAAATCTTACAGTAAAAAACCAAATTCCCATTCTCTTTGCTAATTAGCAAGTCTTCCAAGTTCCGAGTCAAATATTTGTTTACCTCATTAAACAGCTTGTAAAAGTAAACCTCCCATCTATCTTTAATATCTCTATCAGTAACTAAAACTTTACCTTCTTCGTCTTTTATACACCTTATTTGGTCCAAATATCTCCTTTTCCTTTTCCTTTGCCTCACAATTTTGGAAATATTTTTTCCCCACCTTTATTCCTAACTCATTATAAAACTTCTCATATGTTTTAGAACGTGCTTCGCTCACTGTTTTATTTGTCTCTTTTGTAGCTAGTCAATACTCTTACTAGTTTTTCACATTATTGCACAAATGTATGGCTTTAAAACAATATCTCTTCTATCTAACTTTCTCCTATACATTCTTACTCCATTATCAAGTCTCCTCATCTCTTTAACCATGATCTTTGGATTCTACCAAAGTTGTTTTAGCAACTATGTGTACCCTCATAGCAATCTCCTCCCATATAATGGTAGCATTTTCCTACAACTCCCAGATCCTTTTTGGAGAAAAACTCTAGCATTTTCCTGCAACTCCCAGATCCTTTTTAGAGAAAAACTCTCGCTTCTTTCGCTTTAACTACCACTACCTGATACTTTTGTTTGATACTCTTAAAATGTACATCAAGGATAAGTACCCTATGTTGGGTAGTCATCCTATCTTTAGGAATCACTTTATAATTAGTACAAAGTCTTCCATCTAGATACTTGACAAAAAAGAAATCATTCTATGATCTTGAAGTTCCACTCTTTCTGTTCAGGTGTAGGTAGTCCGTATCTTCACAGACATATCTATTTCACCGAGCCTCTCTCCGAGACAGTCCCCAGATCATTACGCCTTTTGTGTGGGTCAGAACTTACCCGATTAGGAATTTCGTTATCTTAGGACCGTTATAGTTACAACCGCTGTTCACCTGGGCTTCAGTCGACGACTCCCCTACCATCAGGTACATGATTAAATGCTCCTCTCACTTTTTAAAATAAGTATTGACAATCTTGAGATTGTATACAAAAGAAAAAGTCAAGAATAGATTGTTCTCCATGTTAGAATTACGATTTTGATGATAACAAGTTAAGGAATCTTTGTTGATTGATCACCTGATCGATCAAGGGATTATCGATAATCTGATAGATAATATTTTTGTACAAACAAGTAACTAAACAGAAACATTGATCGATAACTTGATAGATAATGTGTTCATCGATCAATTGATCGATCACTGTTAACTCAGTTATGTATAAAAGTTTGCAGAAGATTATCGATCAATTAATCGATAGTCAAAAGATCGGACAAACTGTCAGACAAAGGGACACAAGTCTGATAAGCATTTATTGATCACATGATTGATAAATAGATCATCGATGAGGAGACAGATAAATGGTAAAGTGCTCTACTCACTTTGTATTTTGTCTTAATCAACATTTATCGATCATTTTATCGATCAGTGATTTTTTGATAATATAATCCAACATTGCTTTATAACCCACTCAATATGCAGGTTGTTTTCCTTGTGATTAATAATCCAATTATTGATCACCTGTTTACCGATAATATGATCGATCACCCGTTTACATGTATGTTTTGTTTTTCACATAATGTGATCGATAAATCAGTTCCTTGTCTTTACAAGACTGAGTTTCTTTGTTCTATTTTATCGATCACTTGATTGATCATTCTTTAATTGATCATTTATTCGATAATTTATATACTCTGTGTTTTCACTGAATATACTTTTTTTTATCATTTATCGATAAGTTTATCTATCATCTATTTATCGATAAAGTGTTCGATCATTATTCCTTAAAAATCTATTTCCATATCACTCTGTTTATCGATAGCCTAATCGATCAACAAGTGTTCGATCATGGACTGATTTCAGTAAAACTTCAATCAGTTGCGATGATTCTTAAAATATGTTGTCTATTTCATTCGAGCTTTTCTCAGCCTTCATATTTGTTTTAATTCTCTATTTAAAGAATTTCAGAATCAAAAGAGACCTTGAGCTTCCTTTTCTCTGCATATCTTTATAAAGTCACCATTTCTTTTTATGGATCACTTAATCGATAAATCAATGATCCATCACTTGATCGATAAACATAGTTACCTGTGTCAAAAGTTTTTACTTTGAATAATCGATAACTTGGTCGATCAACCAGTCATTGATCATTATTTCGATCAAGGATGTCCAGTTATCGTACAAAACATTTAGCAACTGAATGATTCTACTTTTAAACTATGAATATTCATCTTATCATTTGTTCGATCTGATCTAAGTCTTACTCTACAAAGAGAAACTTATTGAATTAAAATTGCAAATTACGAAGAAGAACTCAACGGCTCTCTAACGGTTGCTTAGTAGTCAGTAACTTACCATGTCAGAAGCATTAATGGCGAGAACCGTTGCAACTGGGAAAACATGCAACTGAGCTCTCAACGGCTAAAAGCTCTTCCGTCTAACGGTTATCAAACTACCTCAACTATAAAAGGCACAAAGAAGCATTAAATGAACAGATTGAATACACGAGCTACCCTCTGCTAATTATTGATTGTTACATTCAATACTCTGTTCTAGCTTATACCAAGCTTCAGTGTTTCTCATTTAATTACTCTGTGAGAGAGTCTGTATCTATCATCACAAATCACGTTCTGTGTGAAACTCAAGAGTGTGGACTCTTAAGAGGGATTGTAATCTTAAGGTAGTAAGAGGGAGTGATTGAGCGAACCAATTGCTATACTGTGGCTCTTGGAACATAGTGGAATACTCAGAGATATTCTAAGGACTGGACGTAGGTCAAGTGGTTGAAACCGAACCAGTATAAATTCTATGTCCTCTTTCTTCAGTGAAATCTCTCTAACTCACACTCTCTGTTTCTATTAGCTTATTGTTTTAAATTTGCAAGATGTTTATACCTCACCTAATTCACCCCCTCTTAGGTGAACTTGCCACTAACACTCCATTATTAAGCTCTCCAAAACAAAACCATCATAAGCCCCAGTAAATTGTCTTGCTTTCTTATCGATATGTCTATTAAGGTCCTCACCAATAAAATTCTTTTCTTCAAATGGTATGCCTTCAACCAACCCTGTCACACCTTACTTTTAGACCTCATTTTATCTCAATTGGAACCATTTGGAATCATTTCTTATGGTCTTAAGTTAAAAAAATTGAAACTTAAAAATCTCATAAATCAGGTTACTATTCATTGTAACCCTAATTAAAGTCAAATTTTGAAAAATCATAACTAATTCTAAAAAAATCAAAATAAAGTGGTTCCAAGTTCTATTTGAAGCTCTAAATATGATCTTTAAATAAAAAATACTCACTGG